TTGGCGCCAGATACAAGAATCGTCCTCCGCCCCTTTGCCCTAGGAGTGGGGATCCGTTGCATTCTGCCTCGGGCCGTGGCCGTGGGAGCGCACGTGAGCGTATCGTACTGTGGACCGCGTGGCCGCTGGAGCGCGGACTCGTGCTCGAGGACTCGTGGCAGTGGAAGTGCGGATCTGCGACTCTCTGAGCGCGGAGCGATCGTGCTGCAATGAGTCGTTGCCCTGCGGGTGAGGAGTTCTGTCCTCACGTGCCCCGAGGCGCCCAGGGTTGGTGCAGAACTGCGTCGAGCGTGGTGGGGGTCGCGCGCATGCAGAGCAGTCAACATCTTGCCTCCAGCCTGTGTCCCGGCACCGTTCATTGGGGCCTCGGGGGGCTCTGGGAGGTCCCCGGTCTCCAGAGGGCTTTGGGGGGGCCCCAGGGGGCTTCGGGGGGCGCTCCCGGCAGCGGCAGCGGGGAGGGCGGCGTGGAGAAGGCGTCTGAGGGGAGGGGGATTTGGAGGGAAGCGGCGGAGGGAGGGGAACAGGGGTGGGGGGGGAGGACATCGGGGGCCCCCAGACCCGAGAGGAGGGGGTAGTGGGCGGGATCAGGTTCCAGAAGCTGTCTCCCACCCGCACCCGCTCTCCAGCCGAATTATTCGACGCGTGGATCCCCATGCGTACATTTCTTTTCTGGCGAGTTTCCCTTCGTACGACGTTCTGAGTATGAGCGAGGCTGGGCCTCGGTGTACGAGTGGATCTAACTGTAAGCGAGTTTGGGTAGCGGTGGGCCATGAGGCCCGTAATACACCCCTGGTCGGCTCCGCTTTGGACGACCTGCATGCAATGTTTGCTACATCGCGATGATCATGGGGCTCTGGAAGGAGTGGTTTCGGTGGGGGCAAGCAAGTGATTCGCTCGAGAGATCCCCACTACCTGGCCGCGAACTGGCAAGTGTCCTAAATCTCTGGCGGCTCTCCCTTGGGGGCCCAAGTGAGCGACGAGAGAAAACAGGGTCGTCTGCGCGGACATTCGCGCGGAAGCTGCCCTGCTGATGCCGCGCGTAAGCGCCCTGGTTTCCAATATGGCGTTCCGCGCTGGTGGCCTGCGTAAACCACCGCGTAAGGTCGTTATAACGTAATCTCACGTAAGACTCGTTTTTCGTCGCTCAAGTGTAATTCCTTCTACATCGCGATGGTCATGAGACTCTGAAGGAGAGGAGTTTTTTTTGCGGCAGAACAAGCGTTTCATTTGAGACGCCCCCCCCACTACCTGGGCACGGCAGGACCTGTGTAGTATCCCCTGGCGGCTCCCCCGTGGGGTGCTCAAAATTTCATGCCTGCTTCGGGAGGGGCAAACAAGCGTTCGCTGGAGACGTCTACAATCTGGGCGCGAACTGGCAACTGTCCTACACCCCCAGAGGCACCCCCCTGGGGTGCCCATGTCAGGTACGTCCCGAACATCATATGGCTTTTGGGAGGAGTCGGGTGGGCGAACAAAAGCGTTTCGCTAGAGACGCCCCCGCAATCAGGGTGCGAACGGGCAAGTGTCCTACCCCGTGGCGACTTTCGCTTGATCTTCCCAATTGCTATGCCTACTTTATCAGGATGATCATGGGGCTCCCAATTGAGAGTGGGATGGGGCGACAAACAATCGTTTCGTTTGGGCGTCCCCATAATTTATCAGGGCGCGAACGGGCAAGTACCCTACCCCGTGCTACCCTGACCTCCGCCCTCCTTGCTCGTTCTTCCCGTGAGGGCAGACTCTGCGAATACTGAGGGGGAGAACGTTAGACCAGCTGTGGGCCGAGGTGGCCCAGCACTGGTCATCGGCGTCTGGGGGCCTTTTTCGGGCCTGTGGCCGCCGAAGTGAAGAATTGGTCCGGGCGGTCCCCGGGAGGGGCCTGGGGTACCATTTTGAGCGGATCTGCTTTCACCCACCCCTCTTGTCCGACTGTCTCGAGGCCCATCCAGCGCAGACCCCTCGGCCGCCTCCAGCTTAAACGTGTACGCGCTCGCGGGGGTTTAACCCCGTCCCGTCAGGTCGGGGGCTGGCACTTCCGATGTCGAGCTCCTCGCTCCTCCTCCTCCTCCTCCTCCTCCTCGTTCCCTCCGTAGTTGCCCCAGGTGTGATGCACAGATGGCGTGGACTGGGTGTCTGTACGTAGCTTTTCGGCATGTGAGTTTCTGTTCGTAGCTGCACTGGGTCAAAAAGTCAGACGCACTGATTGCTTGCTCCTCGAATGCCGAGGGTTGTTGACATCTGTACGACATCTGGATAGAAGCTGGACGAAATCTTGACGGACTCTGGACGAAAGGGCGATGAGGAACGGTCGAAATCTGGACGAACACCCGTCGACATCACCTTTATGATAGGGCCGCGGAGGTCCAGTGGCCACCAGATCCTCGCCGCCAGCGCTGCGGACAGGCGGTGCGGATGGCGTTGCGCTTCCGCTCGCGGCCCCGCTGGGTCTTCGCGGCCGGCCGCGGCCGCTCCCCGTCCTTCCCTGGGGTGGGCGCGCCAGGTCATCGAGAACAGCGAGGGCATGCGCACCACGCCGTCGATGGTGGGCGGGTGGGTCGGATCGAGGGTGGAAACGAGGGGGAGTGAGGGGGAACGGGCAGTGGGGAGTGGGGAGTGAAGAGTGGGGAGTGAAGAGCGAGGAGGAGAAAGAGGAGGAGGATGAGGAGGAGGAGGAGGAGGAGGAGGATGAGGAGGAGGAGGAGAGGAGGAGGAGGAGGAGGGAGGAGGACGAGCAGGAGGTTCGATCGAGGCCCGAGGATCAAGAGAGGAGGAGAGGAGGAGGAGGAGGAGGAGGAGGAGGGGGAGGACGAGCAAGAGGAGGAGAGGAGGAGGAGGAGGAGGAGGAGGAGGAGGAGAGGAGGAGGAGGAGGAGGAGGAGGAGGAGGAGGAGGAGGAGGAGGAGGAGGAGGAGGAGGAGGAGGAGGAGGGAGGAGGAGGAGGAGGAGAGGAGGAGGAGGAGGAGGAGGAGGAGGAGAGAGGAGGAGGAGGAGGAGGAGCAAGAGGAGGAGGAGGGGGATGAGGACGAGCAGGAGAAGGAGGAGGAGGATGAGGAGGAGGAGGAGAAGGAGGAGGAGGGGGGGGGCATGATGATGAACCATTATTATCATCATCATCGTCGTCGTCGTCGTCATCATCATAGTCAGCAGTATCATCACCACCATCAGCAGCATCATCAGCATCATCAGCATCATCAGCATCACCATCAATCATTCTCCCCACCATCGTCGTCATCAATACCAACACAAACATCAACCTCAACAACAGCATCAGCATCATCAGCATCAGCATCATCACCACCACCATCACCATCATCACCATCATCAGCAGCAAGAGCATCACCATCATCATCGGCATCATCAGCATCGTCGTCGTCTTCGTCGTCGTCGCCGTCGTCATCATCAATCGTCAGCATTCGCACCAGCAGCATCAGCAGCATCATCATCACCATCACCATCAGCATTATCATCATCATCAGCATCATCATCATCAGCATCATCATCGTCATCATCAGCAGCATCAGCATCATCATCACCATCATCATCACTATCACCATCATCATCATCATCATCATCCTCATCATCATCATCGTCATCACCATCAACATCAGCAGCAGGTGATGCTGATGATGATGCTGATGCTGATGATGATGTTGATGATGTTGATGATGATATGAGATGCTGATGATGCTTAGGATGATGATGTTGATGATGATGATGATGCTGATGATGAGGGCGACGAGGATGCTGATGATGCTGATGATGCTGATGATGATGCTGATGATGCTGATGATGATGCTGATGATGCTGATGATGATGCTGCTGCTGCTGATGATGATGATGATGATGATGAAGATGGTGGTGGTGGTGATGACGATGATAATGAGGAGGATGATGATGATGATGATGATGATGATGAAGATGGTGGTGGTGGTGGTGGTGATGACGATGATAATGAGGAGGAGGAGGAGGAGGAGGAGGAGGAGGAGGAGGAGGAGGAGGAGGAGGGGAAGGAGCAGGAAGAGGTTAGAAGTGAGGAGCAGCGAGGAGGTGTGAGGAGGAGTGAGGACCAGAGTGAGTCCAACCTACATCAACGCTGCGATACGGTAGTGCACCGTCCCGTCCCAAAGTCCCTCTTCTCAAGCCCCTTCAAGCCTCACTTGTCACAACAACGAATCGCCTCCCTGAACGACCATTGCCCCATGGGCCTGGCATTCAGAAGAGACCCCTGTTTCGAAACGGAGCTGCATTGCATTCTTCTTGCAGGTACGGAGTAATTAATGCATTCATGCATGGTAGGACGGTTCGATTCAGTTAGCCAGCACGATCCCGTTTTGAATCAAAGACCATGTGAGCCCTTAGGAATGCCCAAGCGAGAACCCCATGCTACCGATACGCCACCCTCCATTCCTCCAGCTGTTACGACGTCTCAGGCGAGCGCGCCAATTTTGAAAGCTGAGTCGTCTTCCATATTTCGTAATTGTTGCAAGGGTTGAGACAACTTGCGCGGCGCTTAGGCGAGAGCACCGTTGTGAAGAGGAATCGCCCCCCGTCGTTCTAACCGTTGCAAGCTTTGTAGGCGAATCTGCGCGGCGCTACGGCGAGGGCGCCATATTGAACCGGAACCGCCCTCCATGCTGGTCACCTTTGTAGCTTGCAAGGCGAACGTCTGGCGCTAAGGCGAGGCGCCCATATTGAGAAGGAAGCACCCTCCATCCCTATAGCCTGCAGCTGTTGAATTTGTTAGGACGGCTGTGCGCGGCGCCAGGGCGAGATCACCATCTTGATTCCCACCCCCTACATGCTCGCACCTGCTTTAGGTGTTTAAGAGGAATCATTCGCGGCGCAAGGGCGAGCACCCCTTTTTGAACACGACCCACTTTTCACCTCCATATTTGTTTCTCTTTGCAAGACGAACGTGCGCGCCGCTAAGGTGAGAGCTCCGTGTTGAGAACGACCCGCCCTCCATCTTTGTAATTAGTAGAACGCATACACCATCGTGAGGGAGTCTAAGGCGAAACGCCCAGCTGGCCATACTGACACGTCTAGTGGTCAGACGCGGGGCCGTCGATGTTCGAGTCTCAGTCTCGAGCATCGAGGGTTCGCGGGCTCGAGGGTTACAGGATCCATGGATGGCTCGAGGATCGAAGGTCGACCGAGCATGCGACGCCGTCTGCTGCGGCGTGCCGCTGCGATCTAGGCTCGAACATCGAGTTTCGAGGATCGAGTTTTGAGGATCGAGGTTCGAGGATCGATATTCGAGGATCGAGGACGATCGGTATTCAAGGTCCGAGGGCCTCGATCGCCCTCGGAGGTTCGAAGTTCGAGGATCGATGGTTCGAGGATTGAGAGTCGAGCATCGATCGAGGGACCCTGGTGGAGGGAAGCGGGTCCTGAAGGTCTCTCCCCGCTTGTTCCCAACCATCCTGTGGTGTCGGGTTCTCGTTTTGAAGAGACAGCGCTCCGCGTTCTCCCGCCTCCTCCCCCCTCCCTCCTCCCTGTCCGTGCCTCTGCTCTCCACCCAGTACAGCGTTTCGTGGCCCCATGGGGAGCTTCACCGAAGGTCCCAGTGGCGCAACTCACATGCGGTTCCTGCGCCCAGTACATCGTGTCGTGGCCCCATAGGGAGTTCCACCGAAGGTCCCAGTGGCGGAACTCACATGCGGTTCCTGCGCCCAGTACATCGTTTCGTGGTCCCATGGGGGGCTCCACCGAAGGTCCCAGTGGCGGACTTCGCATGTTCGAAGGTCCCAGTGGCGCAACTCACATGCGGTTCCTGCGCCCAGTACATCGTGTCGTGGCCCCATAGGGAGTTCCACCGAAGGTCCCAGTGGCGGAACTCACATGCGGTTCCTGCGCCCAGTACATCGTTTCGTGGTCCCATGGGGGGCTCCACCGAAGGTCCCAGTGGCGGACTTCGCATGCGGTTCGTGTGCCCAGTGCAGCGTTTCGTGGCCCTATAGGGAACTCCACCGAAGGCCCCAGTGGCACCGCCCGCACGCGTCACCCCCATCCAGTACAGCGTTTCGTGGCTCCATAGGGGACTTCACCGACGGCCCCAGTGGCACCGTCCGCATCCGTCACGCCCACCCAGCACAGCACTCCGTGGCTGCATAGGGAGCTTCACCGAAGGTTCCAGTGGCGGTGTTCGCATCCGTCACCCCCACCCAGTACAGCGTTTCGTGGCCCCGTAGGGAGCTCCACCGAATGCCCCAGTAGTTGCACTCGTATGCGTTTCCCCCGCCCAGTGCAGCGTTACGTGGCCCCATAGGGAGCTCCACCGAAGGCTTCAATGGCGGTGTTCGCTTGCGTCCCCTACCAAGTGCAGCGCTTCGTGGTCCCGTGGGGAGCTTCACCGAAAGCCCCAGTTGTTGTACTCGCATGCGTTCCCCCCCACCCAGTACATCGTGGCCCCATAGGGAACCCACCCAAAGCCCCAGTGGCGGCCCCGCCCCATTGCGGCGCACCCCTCACATTTGTCGCGGCCCAGTAGGGAATTCCGCCTACAGCACCAGTGGCAGCGTCCACATGGCGGCCCCGCCCCACATCGGCACACCCTTCGCATGCTTCATGGCCCCATGAGGAGATAATCCTACGGCGATACGCAAAACGACAGTACTCACAACTGCAGATGGTTAGGTCTGTCGCCAGGGTAATTTTCGGTTTCCTGGGGCCCCTTCACTGACCCAGGCACCGTGACGCAGCACATCGGGTCAAAGAGTTGGCCGTGGCGAAGTCCCCAGAATTCCGGGACGTGTTTTCGTCAGGATTCCTTTCTGCAGCTCGAGGTTCGATGGTTCAGAATATTTCCCAGCCATATTGTGGCGTTGGGTCTTCGTTTTGAAGAGACAGCGCCTCGAGTCACTTACTCCTTCCTTCTCCTCCTCCCTCTCCTCCTCCCTACCCCATCCTCCTCCTCCTCCTCATCATCATCATGCTCATCATCATCAGCAGCATCATCAATATCATCATCATTACCACCACCACCACCACCACCACCACCACCACCACCACCACCACCACCGTGATCATGAGCATCAGCATCAGCATCAGCATCAGCATCAGCATCATCATCATCATCACCATCATCATCATCATCATCATCATCATCACTGGTATACTCATCATCGACAGCATCGCCGTTTCTCTCATTCTCTCCCTCCTCCCTCCTCCCATCATCATCATCATCATCACCATCATCATCTTCATCACCATCATCATCATCATCATGATGCTGATCATCACCATCATCATTATTATCATCATCATTATTATCATCACTATCATCACCACCATCGTCATCATCGCCAGCATCGACATCACCATCATCATCACCATCATCATCATCATCATAATCACCATCCTAGTCATCAACACCATAATGCTCAGCATCATCATCAGCACCACCATCATCATCGCCATCATCATCAACATCACCACCATCATGCTCATCTTCATCATCAGCAGCACCACCACCATCATCATCATCATCATCATCATCATCATCATCATCATCATCATCATCATCAGCGTCATCATCATCACC